ATCATCGACCACGTGGAGCGTGGGAGCACTCAGATAGCGGAAATCCTTGTTCTGGATCAATTGTGGTTTAGCTCAAGCTCTAATGACACACATTCTGTAACTATGTATCTCTGAGGATGAGATAACGGGCCGATGCAAATAACGCAGCTGTTCCTGAACAGCGAAGACGTCCGGGAGAGCCGCAATCGCTCAAGATTTTTGTAGTGGTTCGAAACATGCACTCAGAATCATCGGCGTGATGGTTCTCCCCCTCGACGGCATTCGATTGAAATTTTCCCTCGAAACTTAATGTGGCCACGGGGAATTTCCCATATTTTGGAGCTCGTTGTGACCGTGTGAGCCCGAACCTCCATCGAATCCTGAAGACGCTCATGTGAGCTGGAAGACATTGATGGACACGATTTTTCAGTCGATGATGTACCCAATGCACACTATTGGTAGCGATTCCCGCGAAAGAGACTCGGTTTCGCAGTTTTGCTCCGAAAGACTTCGGGTACCCTGCACCTTCCCGTAACGCCAAAGCAAGGAAATATTCGGAAGTTCAGATAAAGTCTTCGACTGCTTCTGACTCCATTCTTCATCTATGAAAGCTCATTATCAGACTTCTGGTGTCAATTCAGATATTTGTACGTCGTGTGCGTGGATTACAGAGCACAACGTTTGATCGGTCCTCAAGAGAGATCATTCCGGACAAACTGGCGAGGGCAGGCATAAGATCCAACATGCTCCGGTTGGTTTTTCAAACGCTCCGTCGGAGAACCCTCAGGGTGAACGATGGTGTCTTTGCGCTGCCCCGTTCCCCCAGACGACCAGCATGGCGCGAGGCGACCAGTCGAGCCCGTCACTCTTCTCGGTGTTCTTGAGTGACCTCCCTTCCGCCATGAGTTCGGAGCACGATCCAGTCTCCAGACTCCTATGTGCTGACGATGCCGCTTCATCCTCAAGATCGCGCAAACACAGTTGCAGAAGGCCATGCGGAACTCGCATGAGTACCCAGTGGCTGACGGATCGACCATAGATGTGGGGGAACCGAAATTCATGGAATCTGGTAGGGGAGGCGCTGCAGCCTTCGGTGACATCCCCGCACTATCTGGGCAACGTATCGAAAAAGTTCGTTAGCGCGTTTATCTGGGCGTCGAGATGAAGTCCGGAATGTCCGAGCACTGTTCCAAACCGAGAATACGCGAGTTCTCGCTCTAAACCGCACTGACGCTTTTCCCCATCGAGTTCGCCCCGATCGCTGCGTACGGTATGCAGCTGACATTGAGACACCTGACACAGAGACAGCTGGAAGGATTTCACAGACTGGAAGTGAATTTCCTCGAGCAGGCCCTGGGAGTTCAGCGTTCGGCTAGGAACCGGCTGGTCTACCTGCTCGCCGGAACTCCGCTGCTCACAGGAGACCTACGGGCACAATTCGTATTGCCGTCCAGTCTCCCATCCAACAGACATCTGGAGAGCTGAATTGGCAAGTTCTCGGATATCGACGGAGAGTTTCGCACGCCCCCGGCGATGGTTCGGGGCTGCTGGGAGCAGATTCAAGAACAGACGTCGGATGTCGAGAGTCGAGAGGCGCATTCCATGGGTTTCATTACCAGATCTGAAAGAGACCCTACACACAGCGAGGACTGTGATTGGGCGGCGAACGATTCTTAGAAACGTGTTAAACATTGTATATAGTATATACATACCCTATTGAGGCCATGAGATGACTAGTGAAAAGCTTTTTTTTATTTATATCAATCATAATACTCGCTCAGTGCGAAGCTGACTGTAATGGCTAATTCGAGTCAGAAGATGATGATATGAAGGAATTGAGATTCCTCGGATTAGGTCCGACTGGCTCGACTTCGAGCTGCCGCTTCGGCTTTGGTGATGACTCTGATCCAATCTTATTTGCTGGAATACAACCAGCATTGCCGGATTCGGATCCGTATTCAACCTCTCAATCACATGATGAAGACGCTTGCCTGCCGAAGGCATAGGAGTCATTCTCAGGAAAGCTCCTAATGTACCTACTGGCACTGCAGAGTTATCCTGTGTCATCCCGTTTTCAAGTCTCCCGGTGACAGTTCGTCGTTACAACATTATCGCTACCTGTCGTCCTGTCCGAGAGAATAAACGGTCAATAATCCGGTCCTATTTGAGAATTCTATCCGTCAAGTGGCAGAAGAAGGTACATCCGGCTCCGGAATCAACACCCATCAATTTCTTTCGGGTCGAGCTCGAATAGGTATTTGCTCTCTAGGTTCGAGAGAGCGGATTCACTCGCTGCGGATTTGGAGAGGAACTCGACGTATTTCGTTCGCGGCACTCGCTCCTTGTTACACAGCACGTAAATAATGTGGTCACCCTTATTGATCGGGAAGAAGATCGTGTCTTCGGCCATTTCGGCTCCACCGGAGAGCGTGAAGTGATCCCCGTCCAAGAATGCAGTCGATGAACCGAAACTGTCAGAGGTGTAGGTTGAGGCATCCCCCTCGACTTCCACCGTCATGTTCCGACATGTCTTGCCGCTCCTGCAGACACACGAGATGCGGTCCCCGAGCTCGTTGACAGACTCGGCGTCGGCTCCGAGATTCTTAGCGTCGCACTTCAAGTCAGAGATGTCTGCAACAGCCAGACTTGCAAGACAAGCGAAGATGACGAAGCGACGCATGTCTCTGTCTCTAGGTTCAACAACTCGGTTCTAAGGATTTCAGCGAAGGCTAATATAGTGGCGGAAGCGAAACTAGTCGGCTAACGTCGACGGTCCTAGTCGGATTCCCGGCTCCGGGCCTGGGAGATCCCTAAGGCACTCTCTGCAATTGATTTTATTGGCGTTGAGCTTGACGTCGATCTTGAGACATGTTTTTACAGCCTACATTATCGGGTCCCACCTGTTCTACTACTTCGATGATTACTCGGATCCCGCGAGAGTGGAACTCGGAAAATACTAGTGGCGTCGGATCGACGACGGAATCGAGATCCTCGACACGGAACAGGGCCCGCACAACCAAAGAACCCGACCAAGATGCTTGCAGATCGGAAATCACAGTGGAGATCCGATGCGATGATCTGTCCTTAGCTGCAAGATCCATAGGAATCATTATCGGTTGACAGACAGTGAGATCGGATGTACTCGAGGATGAACAAACTCAATCGAGGAACATCCAGAAAGGACCGCTCAATGGTACATGACGGTCAACAACGGGCCTTCTTTTTTTCGCGTTGTGAGATTCCATCAGAGGGAGGCTTCCGTCAATCTCCGATGTCATGGATGATTCTTCATCATCGGTCGGGCATAAGCTATTTACAATATCAAACTCTCCATCTATACCGAGCTATACCGAAAACTTTTTGTCGTCGAAGAAGCCCTGGGCGCCGCATCATATCGAAGAAATAGGCTTCTTCTCTGCCTCGGTTTCGAGTATGGATATTCCTCCATCGAGACACCACCCGACGGGGAGTGTGTCGTAGTCTCTGTCTGGAACTCGAAGCCACTCCAGCTCAGACCTCCGATGCCGTCCCATCCTGCCTCCATCGGAGTGATGAACTCCCAGTATTAGGGGCGGCAGCGGAAACGTCGAGAGGAAATGTTTTCGGATACCGAACTGTTCGATCAACGAATGGATTAGGTTCGATGATCATCGAGGCCCCACGTCACGAGACATTCTCCCGTGGGCTGGGGTGAACATCTGGCTCAGAGCTGCGAATGTGCGTGACGAAGGAGAATGTACATCTACAAGTTCGTGGCCTCAGGCATCTCTCAAGATCCTTGCCCCGTTCCTTACCTAAAAAAGCGGGGACAAGATTTAGGAAGGATTCTGAACTCCTGGAAATCCTGAAGAAGAGCCTTATGTTCCTATCTAATGGGCTTCCCAGAGGCTCAGACAGTGACTCAAGCTCTTCTGCGTAGCGAATACCCTCAACAGAATAATTTATTTAAGTTGTGCAATGAGTAGTTTTCTCAGAGGGTGCACTCATCGAGCAATTCGAAGCTCGTGTAGAAGAGGTACTTATTCTCCAATTCCGACAAAACCGACTCGGTGGCCGCGGATTTCGAGAGGAACTCCACGTATTTCGTCTGGGGTTCCCGTTGCTTGTTACAGAAGACGTAGACAACGTAGCCGTCTTTCATAATCGGGTAGTAGATCATGTCGTCGGCCATTTCGTCTCCGCCAGAGAACCTGTAGTTTTCCCCTTCGAAATTAGCTTCGGAAAATCCACGGGTATCAGCATCGTACCTGATCCAAGTATCACGGATTTCGACCGTCATGGCGTGGCAGTATGTGTCAGTCTTGCAAATACAGGAGGTGCGGCTTCCGAGATCGTGGGCTGCCTGAGCGTCGGCCTTGAGATGTTTGGCGTCGCATTTGAGGTCTGATATATCTGCCACGGCCAGAGTTGCGAGAGCAGCGCAGATGAGAAGACGCAGCATGCTTAGACGGGCTCCTTGTGTCTGTGAGTCGGCGACCGGCTGATATAGCCACGGCGACAAGATCGTAGCGTGCTCGAAGCACGGCAATCTCCTTCTTTTTAAGTCGGATTACTGCTCCCAGAGCAAAGCAGGTCACACCACTTCCGTTCGCTCGCATAGGTAGGAGCATGTGGTCCATTACAACCGGCGATTCTACCAACAATTCGTAATGGATACGCGGTTACAGCCGTTCGGCTTCATCCTTCTTGCGGTTTCTCGAATTTTCGGCCTCCCATCAGAGCGGCTACTCGGAACAGCCGGGAGCTTCTAAATGAAGGGATCTTTGCCTGAAACTCAACCCGAGCCAGGGGCGTGCCCAGGATTCTTTGTCGGGGGGGGCCAAATTTTTCGAATCAAGCGGGACCCCAGAACTTCTGTTCGAATCAGCCAAGCGACCGATTTTGGGATCAAATCGCGTCAGATCACAAAGACAATGAGGCGAACTTTATTGTATTATACACAGGTCTGTTCTGAACATGAGATTTGTTATGTGATTCTCTCTATGATTCTCTCTTTCTCGTTATATTACATGCTCTATCACCTATAGAACCAGATCCAATTTCCGAGGATCGAGGGCGAGGACCTCGAGAACCTCTTCCGGAGTGACTGCGACATCTTTTTGGATGAGCATAGATGTCAATCCATTCAGACGCTCTTCGCTCATTGTGGACCTCAGATAAGTTTTCAGCAGTCTTAAAGAGCTGAACGTCCTTTCCGCTGATGAGGTGGTTACTGGGAGAGTCGCGAAAATCCTCAGTAGGATCGAAATCTTCGGGAACTCCTCGTCACAGCAGCTATTCAGAGCGTCAATGGCATTTACGGGCAACGTGTCCCGCGGCACCTCGATCCACCTTGCTCTCCAAAGTTCGAATTCACCACGTAGAACGCTCTCACTACAGTTCAGATCCGCTTCGTAGAAGTTGAAGATTTCACCCATATCTCCGTACGAGCTATCGATGGTGAACTTGGGTATCAGAAACTGAAGCTTCGCAGCATTATTCCGGGTGTCGTCGAAGAGGGAGGTGAATTCTGTGATCAGAGCGTCGATATATGGAATGTAGGTGGAAGTTCGGAAGTAATCCTCAGGAGAATTCACCGTATGATTCTCTCTGTGAGCTTGCCGATGGCACACCCGGGGCATTTTGATTTCGATGTCGATACTGTCGGAAAATTTCGTCGCTTCACCGAAAACTCCGCTGAAAACTGAGCCGGCTTCTCCTCTCCTCTCCTTGAGTACTGAGAGAACTGTGTCAACAATACGCAGCGCGCCGAAAATATCGAGTTCTTTCTTCTGTAGATTGACCGACAAGGGCAGAAGGAGCGACGCGAAACTCTCGATTGTGTAGAGGGAGATCAAGAAGTCGAAATTGCAGACGGTGTTCAGGAGTGTGTACGCACCAGTACCGCTATCACCTGGGATTTGACTGATCCCTTCCAGGCAACGGACAATCGGGAACAGAAGCTCCTTGAAAGTTACGAAAGCCTGATGGCTCTCAACCCAGCGGGTGGCACATAGAGCTTTGAGTCTCCGCTTGCTTGAAGAAGGCGCGTGGATTTCCACCTGATCTTCCAAAGATCTGACCCGTGAAGAAGAGTTCGAGAAGAAGGCCGCAACGCTTGAAACCACACCAAAAGCTCTTCGTATCGGGACAACATCAGTTGAGTGGACCACGGCGAGGTTGAGGCAATGACTCGCGCAATGGAAGTACAAGGCCTGCGGGACAACGGCTCTAATCTCGGCCTGTACGCCTTTCCGACGACCACTCATAGCGCTGCACCCATCATAGCCTTGGCCGCGGATATCCCTAACATCCAGTCCCTCTTCCTTGAGGTTATCCAGGATGGCGCGAGCGAGGCCAGCGCCTGTTTTGTCGGTGACATCACAAAACTTCAGGAAAACTTCCTTCAGTACCCTCTGGTCATCTCGATGCGCAACGTAGCGGAGACACATGGTCAGTTGATCCAGCTTGCCGAGATCTCTCGTCTCGTCGGCGAGGATGGAGAAGAATTTTGCGTCCCTGACTTCATTCACGATCTTCTTCCGGATTAACCTCCCTGTAGCTCGGATGATTTCATTCTGGAACTTGCCGCTGATGTACGTTGCGTTTCGCTTCGGATTAGCGAGATGCTCTTCGAGTAGGCTGTCACCGGCATCAAGTCTGTACCTCAGCAACGCTCGGAAATTACCTTCTTTCGAGTCTCCGAGGGAATCATCGGAGAGTAGCCCATTATCTCTATGGCCTCGCAAAGCTATATTCTGCCGGCCACAAAGCAAAACAGTCTTGATCATGGGAATCAGTCTCTGACGGTTCTTCATCACTTGCTGCTCACGACCGGTAACAAGGCGATTCCTGACGTCGAGTGACGGCTTATCCTTGTAGCATTGAAGGAATTGTCGAGCTTTCTCTCCTGCGTCCAGGTGATACTGGAGCCCGGCATGATTCTTGAGTGTTTCCACGGCCTTCTTGAATTTATTCAAAGGCTGAGTGACCAGCGTACCCAGGACTCTATGTCCGCGCCGATCGGACGATTCTGACTTTGCGAAGAGGATGCAATGCTTGCAAAACCCTCCACCACCGTGCATTTCGCTATAGGTCAACCACGACCACGTTCTCAAATAGTAGTGTTGGAAAGCCCGGGAGCGACCCTGTTCCTGAACTTTCGGAAACTTGTAGTGCTCACCGGGCACCCACGCATTCACCAAGGCGTCGTAACGCTGTTCGTCGTCCAACGAGACATCGGACCGGACAAAATGACCGATGTCAAGCGGACTGAAAGGCGAAATTTCACTCACGGGTGGAGGAGGAGATTCGTGAACGACTCCCTCGGTTGAATCCAGAGCAGAGGTAGACGCCGACGAATCCTGTGGAGCTGGCGGAGCTTCTTCTTCTACCGAACTCGATGCAACACTTTCTTGGCTGCGGGAATAACTGATTTTTCTCGATTTATGCGAGAAAAAAGTCGAAGGCGTCGATTGCCTCTTCATGATCGATCCGTCGAGATCAAGATTCTCGGAGGATATAAAAACATTTGTAGGACGAGTCTCATGCGATATCGGGGAATGAAACTACACCGAACGCTTCCGCAGAACACATCTCGCACATTTATTTCGTCATTCGAAGGGAAAATTTGGCGCCCAGTGCCGGATGAGAGTGAGAGAGAAAGACGATTCCGATCTCGAGATGGGAAAAACTAAGAATATCAATCTGGGAGTCCACAGAGGTAGTATGAACCGAAAGCTATCGGGGGGGGCCATGGCCCCCTTGGCCCCCCCCCTGAGCACGCCACTGACCCGAGCGCCCGATTTTAGAATAATTAAATTTAAAATAATTAATTCTAGAATAATTCAATTTAAAATAATTCATTTTAGAATAATTAAATTTAAAATAACTCATTTTAGAATAATTAAATTCAAAATAATTCATTTTAGACAAACCACTTCTAACAATCCGGAATCCATTGCGAAAGCTTAACGAATCAACGGCCTCTTCGCCTGTGAAATGGTCCGCCTCATGCATGAAAAAGGACCGTTCCCTATCATCCCTTCACATGAAATCCGCCTAGAATATGGTCCCAATACTTGTTTAGTATGCCACATTTTTAGCCTCCCCCCACTTCAATTCCTAAATAGAGAGCCTATACATATATACACACATGGTAGGAGGCGTTCTCAAAACTTCCGCACGGAGTATCCAAGGTTTCCAGCTAGAGATGTAGTGGAGCTCATGCTTTAAGGAAGGAGGAACATTTTTTCAGTTGGCATGGGACCTCGCGACAACAGCCTCTAGACTCATGGAGAGGATGGAGGAAAGGGGGTGGAAGGGTCCTGGGATATGGGGTGTCAATTTATCAGACGAACAGTAATAATTATCCCCATCATCAGTCACGAATCGATTTCCGGACGTCGCATTGTTTTCTCTTCACGTAGAGAGCAATTTTCCCCCTTGATGCTATCCGTGCATTGGATCATAACTCCGACTTCTCCAACAGACCGTTCCGATCCTCGAAATCATTGCTCGAGAGGCTCATTGCTTCTCACGTCATCGGGGAATCGACGTCAAACCACTAGAAGGTCCCCATGGCTGATTTCTGAGATTGTGGGGGATCGGAACTTCACCGAGCTCAATGGATCGATCACTGAAATGGTGCAGCAGAAAAGGATGGGATTCGGTCGCGGAATCGCGCGAGTCCGGGTCGTAGCCGGGCTTGGACCGCCCGCAGAGCCGACGTGTGTCTTCCCCCAGCCACACCAATCACCAACTGATCTCGATCTGACGCCAATGGCGACTCATCTCCATTAGCGTCGATTGAGCTGATTCTGGTGCTATTCTGATTCTGATCGACATGAATCGATTCGGCGGAGCGCATGGTACTGGGAGACAAAATCTCTGGCCCTCTACAGCTCTCCGCGATAAGTGGTCCTGTAGGGCGCATTCCACAGCGTCGTAAAACATTCGCTCGGGAGCTATCGGATCTCGCTTCCACAGTCTCCTGGATAACAGCGCGCAAGGCCTGATCCCGAAGAGGTACTCGCTCCACCTAGACGAACACTTAGACGGCGTAGTCGTCTTCCGGCGCTACTTTCCGTTTATTGCTTCCGGCCTCGGAGTGAGCTCGGAAGATCCTTCGGTTTTATTGATGTCAATTCCAAGCACAGAAGAAACATGTGCTATTGCAGCTTATTTCTGCGGAAGAACTCTCTACCAGGTCAGCGATGCGTTGGTCTCCGAAGAGGAGAAGTCTTTTGGCAGACTCAAATCCCGGAGGGCCAGCCTCTGCGGTTGGAGAACGACCTGCAGAGAGCGTCTTAATTGATGCGTAGCCGGTCTCATCAGAGCATACGTGCATACATCATCGGGCTCGTTATTCCGACAGGAAAAGATCTTCCTCCCCCAAATCGAGTCCAATGATCGATGAGCATTTGAGGAACTATGAAGAATGGCCGCGGAAACATCGACTCCGAGGGAGCCCATCTACGAGTCCAGTCAAACTCGCGGCTTGCGAGAATTACGAGCTGTGACGCGCCTGAAGCCGGTGGAGACCGCTGCATGATTCGGCATATGTATATCGCTGCGTTATCCTTAGCGAATGATCGCAGGTTCCCGCGCGAGAACGTATCGGCGTGTTTCGTCCTCTCCGCTATTTGCGACCCGCAACGCCAGGCGAAGGACAGGTAAGAAAACGTCTGAGTTTTCGAGCATGAGCGCTGAGGGAAAATTATGGGAATCAAATAATCAGTACAATCCTATGAGCCTATGAGCTCTTCTCTCGCAACTCGGGGTACAGACGATCTGTGACTTGAAGAGGATCCCGAGAAATCGCCCGCCGAAAACTCAAAGCTCTGTTGGCTCTCTCGCTCCATGCTAGATGTCAACCCGGTCTCGGTACATCCCACCTCAGAGCTCTCAGAGCCCACGCCCATCAACCGGCGTCCAGAGTGCGAGGACGCGAGGAGCGTCCCCACGTGACTAAGCTCCCTCGAGGGTCGACACGAGAGCCGGGGGGAGCCCCCGTGACTCAGTCAGAGCTCTGAGGCATCATAGCACATAGCCCATCTGGACTACGCGGGTCGGGCGCTCTGAAGCGCTCATTGAGAACACGAGAGAGATTTCTTGTCTTAATCGAAGAAAAATTCCGAATGATTCACTTCCCGGGAAGAGTGGATAATTCATATCGAACAGGAATTCGTCGGTCCGATTGATGTTGGAACAAACACCGGCCGAATATAGGTATTTATCTAATGGAAGGAGCGATTGGCTTTTGTGTGACTTCATTTATGTCTTATTATGTTTCATTGTTTCGGTTCAGTGACATGATACGAGAAAAGTTCGTGGCACGTACGAGTAGTATGAATATGCAAAAGGTGAGCCGGAAAACTGTAGATCAAGTTTTGGGATCAAGTTGACAATGACTAGATGTTCTGGAGATTTTCCAGCGTGCTGAAGTTCTAGAGTCACACGGAGCATGCCTCTCGGAGCCTCGGACTAGAACCTTGTATGTCTGATGTATAGACTACTGAGTCTTTAGAAAATATTTCCGGGGCTCCGATGATTACGTTAACATACGAAGTGGCACGATTTCGAACAATGCCTACGTGAAGAGACGCTCCACAGGAGTGTCTGGTGGCTCGAATTGATCGATTTATGAACAGAATTCGGGTGAAAATCCTGTCTCCAGGCTTCTACGAGTCGTCAATCAATTATACTGAAAGCAGACGCGGTCCGCGAGGGACTTGCTGGTCCATATCTTGGAAAACGAGATCGAGTTTGAGACAACGGAATACCTTCTTTCAAGATTCAGCCTCGCTCCCTCAAAAATCGAGGTGGGGGGCTTCTTCTCGAACCCTTCGAACGAAAATTGAGCCTTCCTAGAACATCTCTATTGAACGGCTGTATGCCGAGCCTCCATTCACACACTCATTCACATAAGGGAAAGGATTGGAAGTCTGAAACCCACACTAATTATCTACCACAGTCTGGGGGACGTGAGGAGGAAATACTGTTTCACGGTTACGTCAGGGTTGTAGTCGATCAGCTTTGTGTCCAGGGAGTTTAATATTCTTGAAGATCGCCGTCGACAGCATTTGGTTGCAGGTTGAGAATAGGCTTGACGGGCGTGTTCATTTTGGCATATTTTCCATCGCTGAGAATATTTTTCTGTAAATCGACGTATGCAAGATGAAAACGTTGAGTGGGTGAACGGCATGAACTTCTTCTCTCTTCACTGGGCGCTGTCGTAAAAGTGTCCCGTCGCTTTGTCCGTTGCCTCCGTCGGAATCGGGAGGGGCCGGTTCTGGAGTGGAAATTCAAGACGGTGACGCCCAATTTTGGATATCATTCCCCGAAAGCGTATGGACTTTTCTCCTCCGACTGGAATTTACCTTCGGCGCTTCCTTCCGGCTCCAAGTTCCCGTTGGGTTCGCTCCCGGCGCCATCGTGGCGCTCTGCATGGCCATGGCTGCGGGATCGGGAACCGTGCCGTACGTGACGGTCAGCTCGTTTCCCGCAGCGTCGACGTAGCGTTGCGGCATCATCGTACCGTATAGTGCCATTTCTGATGAGGAGGACAATGTCAATAGGTATGGCGGGAGGACCACCCGACGTTTAGCTGCGCTTCAGACCCCGTGTCGGGTTCGGAGGCAAGCTTACCTTGCGGCATTGGTGGTACGGCAATGTTCTTCATCTGTCGGCAACAGATACAAGAGGAAATGACGATCACAATCACGGCGAGGGCCAGAGCCGCCGCGGGAATCACGAGATACATATTCAGGTAGAGGGGCATATCGTTGGAGTCGAAAATCTCCACGAGGCCGTTGTCAGCTGTAAGACCGAATCGTCCATTGAATAGCAGCCGAGAGAAGAAAGCGGAAGCGGGAGCTCAGTACGCAAGGGGGACTCACATGATCTAAGGGTCTGAACCTTCAGGATTTGCGACGGATCGCTCTTGATTGCGCCATTTATCGCGGTCAGGAAGATTTCGTAGGTGGTTCCACTGCGGAGTGCCTCAAGGGTGTAGGTGTTCTCCGTTGAGTTGATAAGCAAGTGTTCCAACCACGCTCCGCCATCGGCTTGCCGATGGTTGATCGTATAATCTAGAGAATTGGAAATTATCGACGGTGATCAGACGGATGTCACCGTATACCGCGAATACCCCTCGAAAGAAATTCTACAGCAGTGATTCGCAAATCATCCGATGCAATCCTAAGGACCGCTGTCTTTCCCGTACTTATTCAAGGCGCTCGAAATGTCGGCCTAGGGACATTCGACCGTCGTCGATCTAAACCCTCGACTCGTATGGAGCTTGAAGCCTCCCGAATCAAGCGCGGGTCCACAAGCTGGTCGCAAAGAACCGACAAGAGATCCGAGCCCGGTTGCTTCCTCCGCACGAGTAACCTCGGACGTCACCAGCACGGGTTACTTCGGATCCTCCCCTGCCACCTACGGATTTCTATATGACTACCCATTCGGTGAGAAAGACTTACTCAGATGTTGGCCACCGGTGCGGAGCTGCCACCGGAGTTTGATGCTGTCGATAGCGACGGCGTCTACGAATAGCCGGGGAACCTCCGGTGAGCCCTCTGCAAGACGATAATTGTTCACTCATTGTCAGTTCCTCTCCTTCGGCATGTTCACCTCGAACGCGGACGGAGTTCCGATGCTTCGAGTCTCACCTTCGGGTCGAGTCATCACTAGACTCTGTGGACTACTGGGTCCTGAGCCAGCGTGATTGTAGGCCTGCACTGTGATTGCATACTCGGTACCTCTGTTGAGGCCTTGCAGGATGTATTCATGGGTCACGTTGTTCTTTTGCTCGACCTGATGGAATGTGAACGGACACGATGAGGATCGAGGCTTCTAATTGCGTCGAATACTTCCCCTCCGGAAAGCGACCACTACTCTCCACGCGCTTTTGGAACGGGCTATTCCGCTAATAATAATTGTACTCGCCTTGCGGAAAGACGAAGTTTTCTTCGATGCCTTCGGTCTGAAACCGATGTAGTAACCTTCGATATCTCCATTCCAAGAGTTTTTCTCAGGTGCCTTCCAGGAAACCAGGATAGATGTCGGACCCTGAGTAATGGCGTTGACATCGATCGGAGGGGCTTCAGGTTCCTCCTCGTTCGTCGTGAAAGTCACAGTTCTCGACGCTTCGCTTTTGCCGATCACATTTTCGGCAACGACGTTCAACACGTAATGGGTTCCTGGCTGAAGATCTCGAACCAACGTGAAGTGTTGTGCCGAGGAAACTTCCAGTTCTTGCTGTCGGAAGTTCAACCCCTGATCTCTCCAGTACGTCACGATAAACTTCGTGATCGGGCTGTTGCCGTCGTACGACGGAGTCCAGTGCAGCGCCACAGATCGCGACCAGATGTCTTTCACCTTGAAAATGGATCCGATATGTCTGAGTGAAAGCGAATCCAATGTGTCATCGACAATCACTGTGATTGCTCTCCAAACGATTGCTCTTCATGACAAAGTTCGCGAGGTAGAAGATATCCCTGGCACGGACCGAATTGTCTTGTGCTCCCGCGGCGATAACCGAGGAGTCGGATTGAGGCTCACCTTGACATCTTGGGGAGCCCCGGGAACGTCTTTTACGACTAATTTCACCTTGCGGTCATCTGTTCCGTATTTGTTCTCCGTATGGCACGTGTACAGCGCGGAATCCGCTCTGTCAGTCTCACGGATTCGCAGCTCCGACGACATCCCATCGGTTGTTATTGATTCGATTATCTCGTACCTGAATGATACCGATATTCTCATGCAGCATCCATCTCGTACAAGATTCCATCCGACTACCGAATGGATATCGCTTTATGCCGATTTGTGAAGAGCTCCGAGAAGCTCGATGAGGAACCGGTTCTATCGCCCAACCAAATTACCTCGAGCTTGTTCTTTTGTCCAGTTTCACGTTGCCTTTGGACCACACGACAGATATTGGATGATCTCCGACTGCGTAGCATTTCAGGTTGGTGGTATCTGAACGCCTCGAAGTGACCACAGATGCCTTTTCCTTGAAACGTGCTGGAACTGATGCAGAAATAGCACTAAGTTAGACCTCCCCCCGACTGCTAATGGCTGTGGAGAAGGCATGATTAGAGCATACAACGAATTCATCGAGCTCGAGAGCGTTACAGGGATATCGAAAATAAAAGCAAGTCCTTAAATTATCTAATTTTGATCATCGTAGCGATTCATTGAGTTCCACGACTTCGAGGTCAGCTCGTCGTCCTTATCGGACATATCTACAGTTAAAGATACCAGTCAGGTGAAGAGCAATCGTTTTACGGAGGCTTCCGACTTCGTTGGAAGCATCGCAAGAATATTCGCCCTTATCAACTTGAGACACTTGTTTTATTTTCAGAACACCGTTTTCTACGCGCCATCGTTCACCCGTGACTATTTCCGCATCGCCTGCAAATGTGGAATGACTCCCGTAGGGCAACTATGGAGGCGAAGAAACATCAGTTTCGAGAAACTCATGGTCGTGGTCACTGGAAACCAAAATTTTTCGGAGAGGCACATACCTTTCATGATTCGCACCGTCGGCGAGGGATGTCCGAGCGCTTTACAGTTCAGAGACACTTCATCTCCTAGAACCACATCAAGTCTTTCGCTCTCATACTCCCACTTCGGTTTGAATTTCAAAGCCACAGGGATCGACATCTGATCAGATCCGAAAGCGTTCTTTGCGGAGCACGTATAGTTCCCGGCATGCTCGGCGCCAAGCTCGTTTATTTGCAAGCTGTTCTGATACTCATTCGAGTGAACAACCTGGACGCGAGGCAAGCGGTCGACTGGAGCTCCGTCTTTCGTCCACTGATATGAGATCGGCGACGTTCCAACAGTGACTGAGCAAACCAGAGACAGCCGACGACCCTCGGTCAGATCCTCCAATACTTTGAAGGGCGATATCTGGGGCGGAGCTGGAAAAGGTTGCAGTCAGCGAGGAACTAGCAGCTCGCGAACTCTGCCTCTTCGCCATTTTCATCGAGAGCTCACCTTGTGCCTCGGCGTACCCGTACAAACAAATCAATAAAATGTATTCGATTACCGCGCGCTTCATGGCTTCAACTTTCTATGAGAAGCCTCGAATGGCGTCAGATTTTCCTCGAGCTTGCCATCACGGTATACTTCCGCGGTACCGGTGGCGCCGTCTTGCGGTACAAATAGAGACTAAACTATGAGGAACTATTCGGATTTCCGTGCTAATAGCGGACCCTTCCATCCCATTCTAGCGGAACCCCGCAGGGATGCAACCGCACGCAGATAATCTCGCACTCGGAGCTCTCACGCGGATTCATCTGAGAATATGTGTTTGGGGGCGTCTGCGAAGCTCCGCACGCAGCGGGGCTCAGTCGGAACGCTGGGATACAAACAAAGAGCGCGAAAGTTACCACTCAAAGTTACGGAGACGATCTTGGAAATTCTGCCGAGCGAGTTGGAGGCTTCGCATTTATATTCGCCCTGGTCTCCGCGAGACGCAGCCTGGATTGTCAGAACCCCGTCGGGTATGAGAGTCTGCGCGATTTCACCTGAGCCTGGAAGGAGCGTCAAATTCTATAAGGGCACACCCAACTTGCGAAAAGTCCACGAGGAATTCTCTCGTCACCGCCCCGAGCCGATCGGTGACGAGTATCTATGCGTCGACAGCGTAGGGTGGGTGCAGCGTTATGCGGACGGGAAATTCGCAATGCTTCGCGATAAGTCACTGACGTGTACTCACCTCTGGTCATTTTGAGCTGAGGCTGGGGATGACCGAGTGGAGCGCAGTTGATTCGAAGCGCTCCTCCAGCCACTCCCTGGACCTTATTTTCATCGGATCTCCATTTAGGGGCGAACTTCAAAACAACTTGGACGGCCATGCGGTCGGAACCGTAGGCGTTTTTAGCGTTGCAAGTGTAGTTTCCAGAATGCTCTGCGCTCAACCTCTCGATTTGGAGCTGGTCTTGGAAGTCATCGAGATGCACCAGCTTCAGGTTAGCCAAGTCACCCAAGGATTTTCCGTCCTTCAGCCAAGTGAACGACATCGGTGGAGTCCCGAGATTGACCGAGCACACGAGCGAGAGCCGGCGACCTTCTGAGAGGTCTTCGGAAATTTTGAATGGCGAGATCTGTGGGGCGACTGAAAAAGCTTCACCTCAGACACAGAGTGACGCCAATCTCAAACATCATGGCTCAGAAAATCACACTTGCGGCCATACCCTGTGAGAGGACGGTCCTTATCACTACAGACGCGCCGAATATCCAATAGGAAACGCACATTTCGGATGAGTATCCGAGTCGAATTCAGCAATGGAAACAAATCGTGGCGTCAAGCCTATCCGACAACCTTGGGATAACGAGCCACGATGCAAGTGGCGCCGTCTTGCGGTCGGACTCGCAGTTGAGACCGAATTAACCTCCGACATAGGAATTTCGAGCTTCAAATCCCGCATAGTATCATCTTACATCCCGAAATCGCTACTCATGCAGAGTGGAACAGGAACCCTGAGAACCCTGGGATCCTGACTCAGTGAGAGTCGAGCAGAAGAATCAGAATCCGGGAACCGGCTCGGGATCAAGAATTCGGAGGAGATTTACCACTTAGATGAACAGAAATACTCCTCGTTATTTTCCCCAGAGCGTTTGATGCTTCACAAGCGTATTCTCCTCTATCGGACGGCGAGACATTAGCAATCCGGAGGATTCCGTCGTGGAAGAGACTCGCGGGGATCTCGATCCCACCTGGAAGGGAAGAAAGAGCTCTAGGAGCGTTCGGGACCATCGGCATTCATGCTGAGGAAATCGCGTCTCAGAGAGGATTCGCAAAGCACGATCGAGTCCGGCAACTCTCGCTGCCGGATATTGAGCTTCCTTCGAAACTCTCCGTCGAGGTTCAAGTTGCTCGAATCTACCCGGTCTTCTACTTAGGGGTGAAATCAGTTCGATTTAGTCATACTCACTTTTGAACATTTTCACGGTGGCTTGCGGGTGAGCCACGGCTCCACAATCGATATCCAGAGGCTCTCCGGCCACGCCAGAGACAATTGTGCTTTGCGATTTCCATTTCGGAGCGAATTTCAGCGAAACTTGAATCGACATCCGGTCGGATCCATAGGCGTTCTTCGCATTGCACGTATAATTGCCCATGTGGTTCGCACCGAGGCTTTCGATCTGCAGCTGATCTTGGAAATCGTCAAAGTGAACGACTCTGACATTCGACAGATTCCCGACCGGCCTACCATCCTTGAGCCAAGTGAAGGAAACGGGGGCCGTACCCGATGTCACGGAACAAAACAAGGACACCCGTCTGCCTTCCGATAGGTCCTCAAGCACCTTGAATGGCGATATCTGAGGTGGGGCTGCAAAAGCTTTCTGTGAGCAACCTCACTGCTGGCCAGCTAAGCCTCATCGGAAGACACGAATTACAATGGAGACATACCATTTGTCGCAGCCAACACGAAAACTTGGAAAAACACCAGACACTTGCACGGCGAACCAGACCCCATTCTCCGGTCCAGTCGTTCACACCGCCGTGCTATGCAACATGCCTCTACGGAGTTGTGAGCAGCGGGAGCGACGCTTGGTATCAAGGGCTACGGTACCAGTGGCGCCGCCTTGTGGTCGGACATTGCGACTGCCTCGCAGTGTCACAGCCGGGAAATGTCGAGGGAAGATTCGAATCCCCCATGGCGGAATGGCTCAGGCGAACGGATTTTCGGAACGGAAGGGAAAGACACCGGAAAGATACATTGGAAGGAACTACGGGTCGTCGATGTCGATAAGTGTCGCAGTTCATTGAGGGAGGATCAATGTGCTGGGATTTACCACTGAGCGTCACTATGACGGTTTTCGAGATCGTTGACAATGGATTGGAGGCTTCGCAGGAATATCTTCCTTTATCTGCCACTGATGCCTGTTTTATCACAAAAATTCCGTTTTCGTGATCAAGTGAGGCCGATCGAGAGGAGTCTGGAAGAAGGAATCAGAATCGGAACGTGATCTTCTGCGTTCTACCTGAGGGATGCGGCTGCGCGCCAACCCTCCCAATGTGCTGCTCTGAAGCCTCGGAGCCCGGCGTTCACACGAATTCTCTCATTATGTCGAGAGCGTGCGGTTTCATTAGATAAGAAATCTCGATCAGGATGAGAATTCGAAAACTTCTCGCACGAGGAATCCGCGAGCTCTGAGGGTGGATCATGAAGCTCACGCTAGCGGTAAGAACTCACCTCGGAAAATTTTCACTCCTGGGGCTGGGTGTCCCTCTGCCGAGCAATCCAGGAGGAGTTCCTGTCCGGCCACGCCGGACACGTTCCTAGGATCCGCTCGCCAGCGAGGAGCGAACCTCAACGACACCGGTATCAGGATACGATCTGTTCCGAACGCATTCTTCGCGTCGCAACTGTAGTTCCCCACGTGTTCGCTACCGAGATCGTCGATCTGGAGCTGGTCTTGAAAATCATCGATATGGACTAACTTCACCCGGGGCAGATTTCCGATCGAGTGTCCATCTTTCTGCCACACGAACGATATAGGAGGTACGCCCTTATTGACCAAGCAGATCAGCGAAAGCCGCTGCCCTTCGGCCAAATCTTCGAGACTCCTATGCTGAGCGATTTCAGGAGGGGCTGGAACGTCTCCGGATGAGCGAAAGCTTTGCGTGCATCGTTGCCGATAATGGGCCCCAGGATGGACGATTCACAATACGAACCATTGCAACAGCAGAATTTCACGAAACCGAGCAGTAAACACCAAACCCACATGACCGCGTCTCAGGAAGAGGACCGAGTGGTAAACTAGGATGGAAGCCATCACTTATGCCGTATAACCATGTTTCTCGAAGCACAGGTAGCGCTCCCTTGTGGTACAATTGGGCAGCGATTCCTGGGAGAAATTTTCGAATCGGACGCGGAACCCTCGCCCGCTTTGGGGAACACTCCGGGAACTCGACTTACAGAATCAAGTCCGCGGAGCGGGACACGTTCAACTCGCGTGAAAAAGACAATGTTGGAAAATCCGATTCAACTTCCAATCCGGACTGATCGCGATCTTAGGAAATGCAAGGGATTAATCGTTACCGCTAATAGCGAGAATCAGGCTTTTCGAAATCTTCCCGAAATCATTTTGTGCGACACATCGGTATTCCCCCCGATCGTTTGAGGACACGCTGTGGATTTTGAGGAGGCCGTCAACGGAAGCGTATCTCGCATCACCGAGAATCTCGCGATTATCTGTAATATCCAAGGATGCGCATTATTAGCGAGGGATGCTCTGCGAGACCCTGAGCCTGCAAAATGTTCCTGAACGCATCTTCACGGGAGAGAGTGTTTGTACCGCATCCGATGCCTTCTCTGGTATTCGATATACCGTATATATTCGGATGTGCGATCCGTGTCATATTTACGAGCAGTCTCAAAGAAACGGGCAGGTTCCGGATGAGGAAAAAAATATACGGGCAGTTTTCGATAAACGGGCAGGTTTCGGATGGTCGAAAAGCGGACGGCTATTCCCTTTGCTTACCCGGACTATTTTTGCTATTCTATTTTGAAGACGCTTGAGTTCTTGATTCTCACCTTTCGAAAAGCTCACTGAGGGTGCTGGATATCCCTTCGCTTCACAATCCAATGTAACACTTTGTCCTATCACTGCCACAACACTTTTCTGATTTTCTGTGCTCCACCGCGGTTTCAATTTCAGCAGGACCGGAACCGCGAGGTGATCGGACCCATACGAGTTTTTAGCTGTACAAGTGTAGTTTCCGACGTGCTCCGCGGCAAGGCTCTCAATCTGGAGCTGGTCCTGGAAGTCATCGATGTGCGAAATTTTGACCCCGACCAGAGGTCCGAGGGCATTGCCGTCCTTGAGCCAGGAGAACGAGATAGGTGGAGAACCCGAACTCACTGAGCACATGAGAGACAATCGCTTCCCTTCTTTCAGATCGCTCGGTGTTTTGAAAGGAGCAATCTCGGGCAGAGCTGGAACGACCACGGTTAGCTTTCACAGTCTGCTTTCGTAGTCATGTTTGGAGATGAATCGATAGAGATGAGACACTATCCACTCACCCAGAGTCGCAGAAACCTCATTGAGGAAAAAACACAAAGCCCCGGTGATCAATAGTTCCATGATCTTGCAGCGTTTGGAGTGACGCTCCTCGACGAAGGAATAGAAGGGCTACACTAATACGAAGTATGATCCAAGTGGCGCCGCCCCGCGGTACAACTGGGAAATCTCAGCGGGTCTAGTCTTTATTCGAAAAGTTGGCTCAATGCGCGCAGTACAGAACGTTTGCTCGCAAATCTCACAATCAGAATACTCATCGAAGTACGATCAATTTTACCTAGTCAACCATCGAAAGCGATTTTCGTGGAATCGCAGCATCGACCTTAGTGATTTTTATAACTCGCAATGATACAACCACGAGAGATCCGCAGACCTGCGCCGCCCGTGTGAGACACCATACCTCGGTCTCCATCATCCAACTAGAATAAATTCAGACTGAGAGCGATTACCTCAGGGAAGGCATCAAGAATATCTCAAGTTCGGTGCCTAGCTGGGGAGCTCCCTCGCGATCCGAATCCCCAACGATATAATCTAGATCTAGACCTAGAGGCTATTTCGCAGATCATCTGCGACGGACCTGAGTTCGAAAACCAGAATCATTCAGTTTCCTACATCGATCCTCGGAACCTTCTAGATTCAGCAAGCATTCAATTCATCCAAGCAGCAATATTGTGTGACTGATAATGGGATAGTTCGGAGCTGAGTTCAGATAGTCATTGTCATATTCATAAGTCACTTTCATACGGGCTCCCCCGCCAAGGCTCGCTCGGAGGAGTTCATCCCTCACCGGAGCGGAACTCACGAGAGGCTCTGTCATGCCGGCGAGCGAATCCGAACATATTGGAAAAGCCCCGCCACCTTCAAAAATGTCAAGGGTTTTAGGATTGTCTTCGCAATAGTTTCCATACCGCTCAAAGCGAGGTTCACGATCTTCGAGGTGACGCCTTCTGAATTCTCCGCCACGCACCGGTATTCGCCTTTATCCGACGCGGTCACTCTCCTTATGGATATCAGTCCGAAGTGCTGCTCGATTTCACCAGATAAAACGTTCTGTTTGTCTGAAATCCTTCAGATTACTTCATCTGAACTGTCTCACCCGTGTATTTTTTAAGGATCGCAACGCATGGTTTCTTCACACAACAAACCTTTCGCCACCGAAAATTTCGGTGAGGGATACCCAATGTACTGACAATCGATCTCGACTCTCTCGCCCTCGATCGCAGACGTCGAGGTTTCATTCGAAAGGAACCTGGGTTTGAATTTCAGAGCGACGGAGACGCTCATCTGATCAGTCCCGAAGGCGTTCTTTGCGGTGCAAGTATAGTTCCCGACATGCTCCACGGATAACGATTCGATTTGTAGGACCGTTTGGTAGTCATCTTGCAGCGAAATCCCAGTGCCGGGCAGCGAACCGATGGGATTGCTATCTTTCATCCAAATGAATGATATTGGCGGAGTTCCCACGGTTACAGAGCACATCAGAGAGAGACGCCGATTTTCGACCAGATCCGCCGGTATTCTGAACGGCGTGATCTCAGGAGCGACTGCAAGGCATAAATTTACCTTGGAACCTTGTCCCATCATCGGTAGGTCGATTTTGGAGAAAACCC